GAAGTGGGGAGAGGGGGAGAAAGAGATGGCTAGGGTTTTCTTTTGTTTTTTTTTTTTTTACAAGGAAACCCACTTAAAAATTTGGATATTAACTTAAAATTAGAATCCAATAATAAAAACCAAAAGAGATAATTAACTCCCAAACTTAGGATTAAGATTTAATTAAAAATCATTCTCCAAATTTGAAAACTTAATTTATCCTAACTATCTAAATTAAACTTAGATTATCATTTAATCAAAAATTAGAACTCCAAAATTACAAAACCCAAGAATTAAAATTATCAACTTTGGGAAAAATCCAAAAGCACTAATGATATCTTAAAATTAATGTACCCGAGAACGCAGGGCGTTACAGAAGGTTTCTAGGCTTCTTTCTTTTCTTCTATTGTTTTAAAATTAAAAACAATTATCCAAAAAAAATTTTAAAATAAACCAATGGGTTAAAAGAATGACTTAGGAAAATAATAGGATCTAAATTTCCAACAAGCTATAAATGTTTCCAACAACAAAAATAAAACAGTCCAAGAGCCTTGGACAAAAATTGAAAACAACACTTCATTAATTAAAATTATAAACTCACGATCCACGACACCCCAGAACAAAACAATGTAGAACAATTAAAATAATTTTCGATTAAACCTCGAAACTTAAGATTAATCTAACCTGAATAACGTGGGGCGTTACAGCGCCGACTCCAAATGTCAGCAGCGCGATGACAACCAGAGAAATTAGATATATGACCCATCTAAATACATTTTGATCTTTTCTTTTTCTTTTTTCTTTTAGATATATGTAATGATCCGCTATTCTCACTTTGTCAAATACATCGGGATCTTTTACTCCTTTTTAAAACTTATTTGTGATCACGATAACTTGGTTTTTATCCCTTCAATTTTTTAACATTGTGAAAATATGAATTTGTCCCCATGGAATAATAAATAAGTATTTGTGGTATAACTAGTATTTTAGGACGTGCTTCACACGTTATATATTTAATTTTTTCAATTTAAGCAAGTTATACAAATGTGGTTGTGGGAATATTTAAGTGTGGAAGGAAGAAGATAGGACTTACTCTGTCGTAATTCAAAATATACATAATTTACACAATATTTTTTTGTATTTTTAACATAAACTTTCGCTTGGAATCCTCAAAATTACAATATTGTATAATATAAAAGTTTAGAATTCAAAATTTTAGATGTGAAAAGGTAAAAAGAGGTAAGCAATGAGTTTTCATACTTATTTTATTTTTCTATTAAAGTATTTAATATTGTTTATGTAGAAGTGTGAACTGGTCCAGAAAATGTTTCTTCTACATCCGTACTTTTATATATACATATACATATATGTATATAGATTATAAATATAGATTATAGATATAGATAAAGTCTCACCTAACCCTTGACCTAACTCTTCACCAAACTTTAAATTTCAAACTCTCAATTACCTCATGTTTTACATCTCTTTTGCAACTCTAAAACACAACTCACGTTTTTTAATTCATCTCAAACAAATAGTCAAGTTTTCTCCCCATGTTGATCATTAATTGACTCTACATTATCCAATATCACTATCCCCACATTTTCACAAGGAACGTTTTTTACTTTTTAACTGTTGAATTTCTTTTAAGCATTGTCATTGTTTACCTATCTGAACTTCTTCCTCTCTTTTGCCCATAATGGCCGCATTTTTTTTTTAAAAACACCCTGGAATGTTCAATCCCAAATCTGGAATGCATATACTTGGTTTAGGATTTTGATGAAATTTGCTTCAGGATTGTGAAATATTCAATCTCGGTGTGTATAGGTCCGATACATAATGTCTCCTCTGGGTCCGAGAAAGATATGTTGTCCCGGACCAAGATTGTCCAACATTAGTCCACGACCATGCAATCTTGGTCCGAGACAACATTGGCAATTCAGGATATGAATCTTTTTTTAATGCTCTGCTCAACGTTTAAGATTGCCCAACACCCTCTCATGGTTTTTTTTTTGTCTATTATCTTACCTAGTTTTATTCTATTTGTAGGATGTCTCGTGTTTTTAGAACATGTGGTGGAGAATGGAAGGATAGTGAAAAGAATTATGTAGGTGGTCTATCATTTTAAAATCGAAGTTGTTTTAATAGAGATAACTGATCACAATGACCTTAAGTTTTATTTTACCAGTAAAGATGTATTGACTTGCTTATATCCATATATCTACCGTGCCAAAGTAGGTACATGGGAATGAAACCTACATGCATTCTTTTCCATATGATATAGGCCAACACGTGTCATTTATTTCTATTCCCTCAGCTTGTATCCACCCATTTCCGAGACCCTCATTTCTTATGCCCTCATTTCCTACCTTATTATCGAACCCCTCTTCTCCACAACCCCCACACCCCTCCTAGAGTCATATAGGTCATGATGTAACATCCCTAAGACCATTATGTTCAGATGTTATTCCATATAATCTAGGAGATGGTAGATTATGTGATTGAGATGTGCCAGGGGTGTAGAATGATAACGAAGATGTGGATGATGAAAGTAATAAATCATATGATCCGTTGACATAGGTAGAAGAAGGAGACAATAAAGCACAATTTGGTAACAATAATGATGACAATGCACTTAATGAGCAACCTGATGAGCAATAGGTAAATAGTGATGTTAGGAGGGATGAAGAGTATGGAAAAGTGGTCTAGCAAATGGTATGCAATGGACTCACTAGATAGTTTGAGGTTGAGATATTGCAAGTCATGGTTTAGTCTTCTAAGACAACGATGTTAAGGAGGGTCAAATATTTTATTCAAAGAAGGTAGTTAATTATGAAAATATATTAATTTACAATGAGGATGAATTTTCAGTTTCGAGTAAAAAAGTCGACGTCGGAGCTACATATATTGCGGTGTATTGATACTATTTGTATGGGTAGACTTGGAGCTACGAAGATGAGGGAATGCGATATGTTCAAGATTAAAAAATATTCTGCTGTCTATATTTGCAATCTGTTCAATATTAAAAAGTTCCTTCAGCGTAGTCAATAATTTGGTTTTCATTTCTAATGGACATGCGACCATTTATTAGGCAATCAAGGTAATCAAGGGATAGATAAACCCAACAAAGAGCTATTGAACTAGCATTCAAACGTTCGAGGAGATGAATGCGGAGAAAAACGAGTTCGTAAACTTATGGTTAGGTCTCGCAACAGAGGCGTTACCCATGCCGTAGCTTGATAAAACCTCCGGACGAGCATGCCGGAGCAAAGCACCAACTCCAAATGAGAGTAGCCGACGCGACAACAAGAGAAATTGGATATATTACCTATGTAAATACATTTGGATTTTTTTTTTCTCTCTTAGATATATGTGAATTAACTTTGTCAAATACATTCAGATCTTTTACCTCTTTTTAAAAACTTATTTGTGACCCACCCTAACTTATTTTTTATCCCTTCAATTTTTTAACATTGTGAAAATATGAATTTGCTATAATTAATATTTTAGCTCGTGCTTCACACGTTATATATTTAATTTTTTCAATTCAAGCAAGTTATACAAATGTGGTCGTGGCGATATTTAAGCGTGGAAAGAAGAAGATAGGACTTACTTTGTCGTAATTCAAAAAATATATATAAATTACACAATATTTTTTGTAGTTTTAATATAAACTTTCTCCTGGAATTCTCAAAATTACAAGATTGTATATATAAAGTTTAGAATTCAAAATTTTGGAGGTGAAAGGTAAAAAGAGGTAAGCAATGAGTTTTCATATTTATTTTATTTTTAAATTAAAGTATTTAATATTGTTTATGTAGAAGTGTGAACTGGTCCAAAAAATGTTTCTTCTA